AATAGTTAGGTGACTATTTTTCTATTTTTCAAGTTAGCCTAAATGTGACGCTAATACATAAAAAGAGATATATATTTATCATATAATTATATAGGAAAATTCATTGGATGACGAGGGAATTCCGCAATGAATTTCACGACTTAAACGATAGTCAAAACTGAAACTCCGGCGCTGAGTCATCGAGACAACTGGAAAGAGTGTGAGAATTTCTGTTTTTTGTTTTTTTGTTTTTTTGTTTTGTTTTTTCGGAAAACTTATCAGGCAAACTAAGCAAAATTGATAATTTGTATTAGTGCTAGGAATTTGTAAGACAACTAAAGAGTAAAACTTCTGTTTTCGTGAAATAAGTTTTGTCGATAAATCAAAAGAGAAAAACAAAACGCGGGATCCCTGATTTTTCATTGAATTCAGCTTTTCAATCCGCCAACAAATATTGTTCGTTTTTATAGAAAAGTAATAGAACGATTTCACATAAGCGTTTTTTATATGCTAATGAGTTTTTAACATGCAAATAAAGTTGTCACCTCATTTATTGAGTTGTCGCCTTGGTAAACAAGGTATTCACATAGTGGCAGTTCTCACTATCGTTTGTTTTCAATCATAGAAAGTGATAAAATGTTGAATTCACTGGATTTTGAACATTAAATTTTCAAAAATAAAGGCGTCATCATAGAGAAATGTTTCAGTTTCAGTAAAACTAAAATAGCGATGTTTTAACATAGGAATGGTGATTTAAATGAAACAAAAATCTATATTTTACAACAGTTACCACGTTCAATTTAAATTCTTTCAAAAAGTCTAACGCGTCTTTCTGCCAAGAAAGTGCAAAGTTCGATGCATACAGGCATCAACCATCGTGGATGTCTCCATAACCTGATGTGGCATTAAATGTTTTCAGTTCTTTAAAAACATGTTCAACCTTAATGCGCCTTTTGCCCAGCATACGATTAAACTTCCGCGCACGTCGTCTACCTCTGTTGTTTAGTAAATGCATCTGGTTAGCCCTGACGGGCGTTAACAGCGCTCCACCATCTGGATAAGCTTTATCGGCCAAGAATTGTGCGCCAGGAGGTATATCCAGTGGTAACCCAGGTCCAATGGGAAGCATGTGTCTGTAGGAATTTGCGTCGGCCATACTTCCCATAAAACCTGTGTGTACGTGGCGTAAATGTCCTTGGATGTCTATGATAAGCTGCGTATTAAAACAGTGATAGTGTCGATGTCCACTATAAAACAGTCGCTGCGGTTCCGTTATCGGACGATAAATCTCATGTGGAGTCGAGTCAATCGACCCAACAGCACTAGGAAACTCTGGCCAGTTTCCCATCATATTTAGCCATTCTAGATTGTTAGCCCAGCTGATTTGGTTATGGAAATATTGCCATAGCTCAGGTATGATCTTGTAAATTATACGAACAATAGTGGCAGGATCTACATCAAACAATAACGCTAGGTTGTCAATGTGAGGATATTTTCTAAGCCAGATAAAAACTAGCAATATCTGATTAGTCAGATTTAAGTTTTGACGCCTTAATCTCATCCGCGGAACGCCGTGCACCTTAAGTTGAGTCATCCTCGGGGTTAAATCCCTCACCAATTGCAACAATGAGTTTGGGGTTTCACCAGTATTTCTCCAAAAGTGCCATAACTGGTCACAAATAAGAGAGAATACGTCTCGCCCATGGTATGTGTGACCGTGGAAGCCAGGAAACAATCGCTGGATGAGAGGTGTGTGCTGATAAGCCAACGGTGGTTGTAATGTTACAAACACAAGGCAAATAGCCAGTAAATTTAAAAGAAACACCCTAAGTTGTACTAGATCCATAATTATAAAATTCATCCAAAATGGTGCGTTGATTACAAGTAGAGCTACAATTGTAGGTCATATATGCTACACACGTTACAATTAGCAGGGCGGTGAATTTCGCAAGTTGCCTTTAAATTCCAGCAAGGTTATGTGTCTCAGTCGCTTCGCATTCGCGTTCAACACTTCGTTCCATAAACATTATTTAAACATATCAAACATCATGTGGCGACCTTGGGAAGCAATAGATGGAACCTCTACTAACTCTACAACCTCTGGTGGAGCTCAGGCGAGCCAACTTAAACCTGGTAATTCAGAATTCAAGATGTACAAAACAGATTACAATATTAATTTTGTTTGATTTTTTTTATTAATTAGTCGTGACCAAAACAGTGAGAGTAAGGGCAGCTTCTAGTGAAAGGGAAGGCAAGCTTGTTTCGGAAAGCTTTAACTTGGTATGTGACAAAGATTGGAGTGCTGTTGCAGATATGGCGCGAAAGCGTGTACTGGACTACGGTCTTCCACCACGAGTAATTAAAATATACATGGAAAGTGATGACAACAAGCTTATAACGAGGATGAAAAATGTTTTGAGAAAGACGACACCATCATCATCGTCAACATCATCAACAACAACAACAACGAAAACTGACGACAAAATGCGTTATGCCGTGAAACGTACGCCCGCCCAAAGAAAACTCGAGTCAAAGCTAAATGCCACCTTCATAGCCTCGAGCTCCTCGTCGGATGAAGAACAAGAAGAAAAGAAAAAAAAGAAAAAGACAGCTACGGAAGTAGCTAGAGAAGCCCAGGAGGCTCACACTACTATGTGCCGCAAAGCAATGGAAACTCTAGAAAAAGTAGGCAGCTTGCTCACGAAAGTTGAGAGTCAAATTGATAAATCAGCTAAGCCTTGACGCTAAGGCTCTGTTTATTTAGCAGCACATAAGCGAAAATCCTTGTTACCGTTATTATATCTAAAACTGATTTGATATTTATTATACAGTACAATAAACATGACAAATAAAAGTCTTAGGCAACTCTACTCTGTGGGATTCCTGTGTTTTCAAAGGCAAAAAAGCTGCCGGAGGGGGAGGGGCTGGGAAGGAAGGAAAAGCAGGAGGAGTCTTGTTCGTTAATTCCAAATCTCTCGACACCAGTTCTTCTCGGTCAAGAATATGAACACAGGAAGACCAAGAAGAGAAAAATTTCCGTTTCAGATGGAGTAGCCTGCGAAGGAGGCTAAAGCTGTTTAATAATTGTAGTACACCCCGGCTTCAGCGGGACAAAAACAATATGTAACTAGTGTTCACGTAATCAAGAACTTAAAGAGAGTTGACATATTTGAATTTATTCAGTTTTATATGAAAATCAGACCCCCGTCAACGAGTCGTGAAGCTGCCTACGTGCGCATGCCTCAGAAGTCGAGGTGACAACTAATTTGCATGTTAAATACTCGAAAAACTCATTTGCATGTAAAAAACGCTTATGTGAAATCGTTCTACTGTTGTAACAACGCCTGCATAGCATATGGGCAATTTGTATGCGCATGCGTGTGTCACGAAAGCATCTTCGAGAATGGGCGCCATTTTCTTTGGAACATGTTCTTTTTCGGGTTTTTGCTAGACTAGATCGCAAGGTTTAACACTTYGAATTGTAATAATTTCAAYTAGAACCGAGAGTATACACGAGTGACTRCACWGRCTAYTCTTGATGTATTCCTAGGMTTTATATTTCGGTAGATRTATTCCTTGAAATGATCTGAAAATATCGAAATTCATTGAACATATGGTTGTCTTCGTTTTGWTTTTKCCTGCTGTTCAATTCMGATTTTCTACCTTACAAGATATTGAGGCGAGTGTTTATGTAATGAAGTTTCAATGTTGACAATATCAATCTTTACTTCAGTGCCGATCACCCTTAGAGTGCTGATGCTTGCTTTTGTAGTGAAAATTAAAACCGTGCTGCTGTTTGCCCAACTTSAGCGTCATTAAGCACGAAAATTTTACTTTCGCCCGTGAATAATAACAGCACTGAGTGAATATATTACTTCTAGAAATTTTAGAAATGAAGTCATTTTTAAAATAAAAATTGCATAGCACAGATCGTTCGACGTTGTAATTCAACCTTCGTGAATGGCTGCCGTCTCGTCGAGTKTTTAACCATTTTTGACATTACGGGTACCTCATATTTTCAAGTCTCTGGTCGACGAAATTCCCGAAAAAGGTAAATGGAGTGTTTTTTTCTTTAAATGTGTTTATTTTAAGCAAAATCAAGGTATTTTTTCTCGTCAAAGCATTCTTTCAACTTTAATGAGAATTTCAATACAAACTTTGTCACTCGCATTGTTCTTGCTTTCAATATACTAAAATAACTTTCTATTTCTACTATCGCCCGTGCTTGTGTTTATCATCATTTTAAAGCTAAAAAAAGCTGTTAAATCGGGTGGGAATAGTCAAATTATTGAATACATTGCGTGCGCTTTTGTAAAGCACTATCAATATGGTGCACATGTATGGCTGAGTGAACTGTGTTGTAACGTATGAATCCCTGGAAGCAAAAAAACTTCGTCGACATAAGATCGAATATGCACTTGGCTGACTTTTTTTTCCACAAACTACACAACCACTCTTTGACCTAACAAACTAGGCAGAATTTATAAACAATCAAAGCGAAGCAAGAAAGAGTACACTGCGAATTGAGACCGCCATGATAATTTTTTTGTTTACTTCACTCTCATATACAAAAGGGCGCGAATCTGCTGGCGGGTAARCGACGCGGCCGTCCATGGGCCCTTTCGCCTGTCATTKTGAGATTTTTCGACTGCCTGACGTTTAGTCCCAAAACTAAACGTCAGGCAGTCGATTTTTGGTGTGAAAAATCGTCGGAACAACCGTAATTTCAATTAACACAACAAGGGAAATGCAACTAAAGATCGAAATAATACTGTTCGACAAGTTTGTATGGTGACAAGCAGGGCACTTTGAGATTTTTTGACTACCTGACGTTTAGTCCCAGAACTAAACGTCAGGCAGTCGAATTTTGTTTCGAAAAATCGTCGAAACAACTTTAATTTCAACAACTTTCAGATTAATTTTAATCCCCTTGGAGATAAATAAAACAATTGGCACTAATTGCATGCATTACAAAAGAAAGTTGGCAAAGCATTCTGGTAGTTGTAGAGTAAATGACACCATAATGCATATCGCCTATTCAATCATATYTAATGACCTTTAATCAATGTTTCGCCGTAGGAAGCTATGTAATAATGTACTTGTACTTTTCCAGATATGAATGACCTCWGTAATTCATCCAATATCACAAACCTTCCCTCAATGTCATCGAGCAATTATCGACGAAAACAAGAAACAATCATTGCGCAGATTACATCCTTCGCCATACTTGGCATCATTACTGTGCTAGGTAACCTGGCCTCCATCATCACCTTCGCTAAGACCCAGTCTCTTCGCAAGCGTTCCAACTACACGATTATAAATCTTTCTATTGCTGATTTGTTGGTATCCAGTGCTATTTTCATGGCATGTTATTACTACTTGTTTGAGCCGGCAATGATTCGACCACAATATCTCAATGTCGCTTTCGATTTTGTTGATTCATTCACGAGTGCAGCTTCAATGCTATCTCTGACTATGATTTCAGTGGAGCGGTTCTATGCCGTTGTGTTTCCCTTCAAGCACATGATGCTTCTTTTTAAGCACCATCTTTTCCTATGTCTTGCACCATGGCTTGTCGCTGCCGCTACCGTTTTGACGTATGTCGGGCTTGATTTTCCAGGAATAGGTCATAAAAACTTCGTTACTCACATAACCGTTCGATATTCGATTTTATTTCTTGCACTGATAGTTATTGTTGTTTCCTATCTTGGTATATGGTTGAAGAGTCGTTATGCAAATCCCAGCGCACAAGATCRGAATCGCTCAATGCGCGACCTCAAGCTGTCCGTCACGCTCTTCATCGTCACGCTTGTATCATTGTCAGCATGGCTTCCAATCCARATATTCCAAATTGCAAACTTTTTTCATCCAACTCGACTGCCTAATGATAACTACTATATTTTCATGAAGTGTCTTCATTTCTCCAACTCAGCCATAAATTTCTTTATCTATATTTTGCGCATGCGCAATTTTAGAGTAGGATTTCTTGCAGTATTCGGCTGTAAACGAGAGAGACTGAGCGAGCGATCCCAGTCGACGACCTTGTCATACAGTATGATACAAATACGAGATATGACCTCGAGAAGTACCTCAAGTCTCAGTTTAACTAGACAAAAAGCCTACGTTGTCAACAGTGACGTCAAAAGCGACGAGAGAAGACTGGAAGTGAGTGGTCCCCAGCTGAAAACAGTTACCATGAAATGAATGTAGCATATCATGAGTTTTATAATTGCGCTGATTTTAATCAACCGCCAAAGGTGGATTACTTACTGACCTATATCAGTCTAGAGTATTTCATTAAAAAATTATATTTAGCCGTTGCTTTTCATAGTCATGCAAGAATAAAGCCTTTTAAAAGGGCTTCGTACATCTGTGCTGTTATATGTACTGATTACATTGCTTCCAGACACATCTCTTGTTGCAGCCCGAGATCTACAGGTGTAGTCTATTCTAAAGTAAAAGTGTTTGTAAATTTGGCTCGCGATTCTGATCTTTTCGTTCAATGAACGCTCTGCTCCAGGGTGGCCACGAAAGATCGAGGATCAGAGTTGGGCCATTCCACTTTTCACTCTTTTTTCCTGAATGWCATATTTGGAATTCGTTTATGACGTCACCGAATTGCAGTCAMATGAAAGGAGTTTAAAAGACTTTAACATAAAATCTTTTAAATCACGTCCCTGCTAAGGTTCATAATACTCGTTTTATCCGAAAACATCTTACACTCCAAAAAAAAAGACTGGGTACTATTTTCGTCAATGACATCTGTCATTTTGAATTATAAAGGCATTGGTAGTCACCAAAGGAGAATCGAAGGAGAAAAGCTATTGTCATTACAGAGTACAGTGTTGTTATTTACTCTCTACTACAAATTAAATTTCGGGCTTCAGTGAATCAAAAGTGTTGCGTGTTTCCATGTTGTTTTCATATTATAATGTAATATGTCATAGAACCCTAAAGATGTATACACCTAATTTAAAAAAACGTAGTCGTGTTCGAAAAGCTCACATTATAGAAGCTAAGACCGAAAGGGATTTTTAGTACCACTAAATTGGGATTGCATTTGTATATACGGTGTATCGTAAAGCAAGTAGAGCTAGTAAGATTAACAGCATGATAGTCTTTTATGCTGGAGAGCTGTTTGTTATGAAATTAGCCAAATTGTTTGTCTTCCCAAGTACCCTTTCGGTTTTAGCTTCTATGATTTGACCTTTTTGGACCCGACAACGTTTCTTCAATTAGGTGTAGTTCGCATAGAACTCTTGTTAAGTCCGCTCCTCTCTTAATTTTCCACTCAATACTCCAGTTTCGAATTTATAGCGAATAACCGCTGCTCTATTTGACAACAGATTCTCTTGCGCAAAGACCTTACAACACAAAAGAGAGCACGAGAAAATGTCGTTATTACAATAGACTTGAAAATTTGCATTTTCCCCGAGTTGAGATTATCCCTGTATTCCCATAAGACCTAAGGTATGAGCAGGGTTAGGCTCAACTCGGGGAAAATGTAGATTCTTAGCTCTCTATTGTATTAACAACATTTTCTCGTGCTTTCTTTTGTCTTTGGTAAGTTCTTTGCGTAATAGAATCTGCTGTCAAGTAAAACAGCGGTTATTCACTTTGAACTCGAAACTGGAGTATTGTGTTTTTGAAAACAATGGTTCAAGATTGCAGACATACATAAAAAAAACTCGTGTACAAATAGCACGTGGCCATATTTATGGAAATAAATATATTTATTATTTGAAATTTTATGAGCTAATAAGTTTCCCAGTAGTGCTTTGCGGTCAACATGTTTTCAGTTATAAAATACCAGTAATTATGAATTATCAATATGTAGAGGTTTTAAGCAATAGTCGAGGAGCTATTTTCCCAAAGAGGCTTATTTAACGAGTTAGCACAACCCACTGAAAAATAAAGGTTTGATGCCTGATTCTTAAAGATCAATGTCCACTCTATAACTACAGGTACTATGTGCTCTCGAAAAGTGGTGCCTTCCCCCTTTAGGGGGGGGGTCGCATTTGAATAAGCGACATTTTACATGTAATCGAGGCAGCTCAATGTTTGTTCTTTTTTCTCCTCAAGAACACAACGAAATCAAGCAAAATTTAGCCAGAATAACAACAACTTGATGTTTAATTTGGCATGTCACAATTTTCAAGAAAAGATCACGTGACCGACAATGACAAAAAATGGCTGTTTTGGCTGTTTTGAAGGGTTTTCAATACGTATTAAGTAGTGTTGAAAATGATAAATTTTACAAATAATGCTTGTTAAGTATCCGGCATCAGGTATCAAGAAATACATTTAAGTTAAAAAAAATGATCAAAATACTCAGAATGTCTCCAACAACTTGCTGGTCATAACAGTCACAGGACATTAGTTGTGCTGTCCGCATAAACCATMTTGGCTAGAACCAAATAAACTTCATAAGTGATTATCTTATCAATTTTGTCACATAAATTGAGGATGTAGTTTTCACATAAATTGAAGATGTAGAAGCTGAAAAACATATTGATGATTTATTAGACATAACAAGCACAAGTAA